TGAAGGGTATTTTAATTATTATCTATTAATCATTACATCGTTAATTTATTGAAATAAAAAAAAAAGACTTACTAAACTTGAATAGAGAAAGTCTTAGTAATGGCTTTGGGTATTCCTTACCTATTCTAATAAAATTTTATTTTATATATTACTGACCAAAAAACAAAGGTGAAATGAAAAATGATTGCACTAGTATTGGTTGCTTGGCTTGATTTTCAATCTCAGTAGATACGGAGGTGTTGCTTTTAGGTGAGAAATTAGGGCATATTCACTCTTAAATGATCTGAGGTAATGATAATGACAGTCTTCAAGTTCAATGGCACAAGCAACAGATAACAAGCTAAAAAATAGTGACTCGTGGCATTGATTACAAGATATCCATTGAGTGTGATGGTAGGTGGTTGCTTTCTTATACCAAAGATCACAAGTTCGAGTACCTTTATGAACAAACTTTAGGTTCGCCCCCAAGCCTTAGGGCTTGAATGAGGCGGTGGTCAGGGGTTTGAGCTCTACAACCACCGTGAACTCCACCAAAATACGACCTAATAGTCGCACACCTCATTTGAGGGGGTGGAATGTTCACCGATCTGGGAATGCAGTTGCTAACAACTAACTCATACTAACTTCTTAACCATTACCCTTATCAAAAAAAAAAAAAAAAGATTATAAGGGAAAGAAATAAATGAAATGAAAATTGTGCGGTTTGAAAATTTTTTTATACATTTTGTGACAAATTACTCCTTTTGCCCTATAATATATAGGTTTCTTAATAATCGATTTTCATATTTTAAAAGAAATAAATATTTTTTTACTTTAGTTTTATAATTATTTCTTAATTTTTTAATTATATATCTTATTATAAAATGATTTCTTTATTTTTATTTTTTTAAAAATATAATATGTAAAAATAAAAATATCCTCAAATCTTTAATATAAAAATAAAATAAAGTAAAATAAAAAGAAAACAAGGGGAGCAGCTGATACACTACTAAAATGCTTAGCTTCAGCAACATGTTTCCATGTTGCTGAAAGTGGTTCCCATGTTGTTGAAAGCCCTTTAGCAACATGGATTTGCTTGCTAAAAACTTTGTTGGAGATGGCTTGGTGGGTAATACATTATCAACCAAACTCTTGTTGTTGATACATCAGCAACATGATCTATGTTGCTGAAAATATAGTATTAGCAACCTAGCTCATGTTGTTGAAAAAGGTGGCCGGAATCCGGTGGAAGTTGGGGTGAATTGTCTCACCCCCTTCAGCAACATAGGCCACGTTGCTGAAGATAGGGTTTTAGCAACGTGGCTTATGTTGGTAAAAATTGCCAAAAATCTATCCATTTCTGGTACCGGAATTTTGGGACATTTTCAGCATGACATTTTCAACAACAAAAGCCACGTTGCTAAAACCCTTTTTTCAGCAACATGGCTTATGTTGGTAAAAGTAGAGGGGATAGTGGTTTTCCACTTTTCAGCAACATAATCGTTGTTGCTGATTGTGTACTTTCACCAACACCGGTTCCTTGATTTTCAGCAAGCAAAGCCACGTTGTTGAAACCATATTTTCAGCAACGTGGCTTGTGTTGCTAAAAAAAGGGAGGGAAGAAGAGTAACCCAACCTTTCAGCAACAACAGCTATGTTGCTGATATCCATTATTTAGCAAGATAATTCTTCTTGCTGATATTCAGGGTAAATAATTACCCAATATTTTCAGCAACATGCCTCTTCTTGCTGATGTCTCATTTATATGATAATAAATATATTACATTAATTTTTTATTATTAGTGTCAAATTTAATAAATTTATAATATTTACATATAAAATTTATTTTTTAATCATTAAATATATATTAA